TCTCTATCTCTCTCACACACACACACACAAGACGTCAGCACTTTTCACACTATAAAATCCCCCCCATTCCCTTGCACACATTTATCCCTCGTTCTATCTTCTCTCCTCATTAACTATTTCTAGCAAACCCTCACAAAAATTCGTTAAAAAAAAAAACAAAAAAAGGAGGAAAACACTCAAATCATCCTGAAACAACATAAAATTTCTCACCGTCATAGGTTCGTTGTTTATCCTGTTTAATTGTCAACCATATATATATATTCGCTCTCGCAAACGCAAACGCAAACGCACATACTATTTCACTATGTCAACTATACTTTGCCAAACTCTCGTCTCCTCTAATTTTGACTCCCAATCGGCAGAAACCACCACCCTCAACCTGAAAGTGGCGCCGCCGCCGCAACCGTCACCTCCGGCGACCTTCGACTTCTTCAATAATCCGGCCGCCGACAGATCCACAAATCTGGAATTCGGAAATTGGGGTTTCCTCCAAAGAGGATCAGGGGAATATTTCAGAGACGCAAACCCCTGGGCCCGAAAATCGTGCTTCTCAGCCATGACATCTGAATCGCTCCAACTCTGCACCGAAAATCTCGGCAGCGAATCCGGCAGCGATATCATGTCCGACGTCGGAGATCCCATTTTCTCCTCATCGTCCTTGGTCGAGCAATCGAGTCCTCAAAGCAGAGAATTAATCGGCACCAATTGCGACCCACTCTCAAATCCCAAAAAAAACCCTAACCGCCGTGAGGCGAAGAGCTACCCACCGCCTCTGACGACGATGAGCGGCGCGAGCTCGCTACAGGTGCGCCGCCACAGGGAGGGTGGCCGGCTCATCATTGAGGCGGTGGAGACGCCGTTTAGGAACGCGTACCTTCAGGCGGAGAGGAGCGACGGCAGGCTCCGGTTGAGCTACATAACGGCGGAGGCCACCAATTCCGCTGCCGAAGAGGAGGAAGACGAAACGGCGCCGGAGGAGGAGGAGGAGGAGGAAATTGAGGAGGCGGTATGCGAATCGGACGAGGAATTCGAATTGGATGGAAAAATTAACAGTAATTTCGCCCTCGAATTGGATGGAAAAATTAACAGCAATTTGGAAGGGGAATTAGAGAAATATCTAAGGGTGAGGAGATGCAAGGAGGAAGGTGGGGCGGCGCGTGGGAGTAATTGGGGGCCTGCGCTTTGGGTCGCCATTTCCTAAATTATTGAATTTAATATTGTGCTTTTACCATTTATCTAATTTTCTCCCCTTCTTCTTTTGCTACTGCTTTTCATCTACTGTAGTTGGTTTTCACTTTTCAAGTGTGAAGATCTTTTTCAGGTCTATTTTTCTTTTTGTTTAAAAAATTTACTGCTGCTTTCTTTTGGTCGGGGTTATTGAATTTACTGGGTGAGTTTTTGGCAGTTACTGAACATCTGCNGCATCTTCCAAATTCCAGTGTTTGTTGTATCATCATATGCCTCGGTACTTCTGAAATTAATGAAATTTTTATTTAGATTTATGGAAGTCAGTAAATGCAAACCTGATGATGTTGATTGTTGGAAGATGCATAGCCCATCAACTCTCCAAATAGTTAAAATAAAAACCTTATTTAAGTAATCTCTAATTTCACATTTTTTTTGACAAATATTAATTAATCTATTGTTAATAACTATGATGGTGGCCGTACTCATTTTGGAGTTCTAGTAATATTCAACGTTTTGTAAAGGAATAGTATACAGTCCTGGTAACTGGAACACCATTCAATATAATCAATATAATCAAAGTAAATTTTCAAAATATAATAAATTGGTATGTCATAGAAAAGGATAGATTTCAACTTATGTTGAATCAACTTACACATCTATACTATCTATATAAAAAGTCATCTCATTTACTAGAATTAATAGGAAGAAAAGTCAAAGTTAATTAATGCATTATATTTCCATCAATTAATTTCTATTTAATTATATTTACCCATAAAATCAATAAAAAAAATGTACATAAAACAAAAAAATGCAGATTTGATCGGTCAAGATAAAATCTTGATTTTACGTCAGCCAAAAATAAATCAGATTTAAAGCCTAAATTGAAGGGTTTAGTTATTTAAATAGATATTGATTTACGTAAATCAATACGTATCATATGTTTAAAGTTTCTGTATATTGAAAATTGAAAATTCTTTCTTATCTTTATAAAAAAAATCTTATCTAATTGTATGTAAAATCTGATATGATTTGTTCCTCTACATATAAGGCGATTTCCTTATATAAATATTTTTTCTTAAAAATCTTAACAGATATTGTATCTACTCTACCTGTCTTTAGTCATATCCAGTTATATGTTGTTGTTTCGCGTGTAACTAATAGAAGGGGGTTGAAGATATTAGTTTGTGAGAATGACGAGTTGCCCAATAATCAAACTCATAATGTTGTGTACAATGATATTAGTTTGTGAAATGACGAGTTGCCCAATAATCAAACTCATAATGTTGTGTACAATGAGGTATTTAATAATATATGATTGTTTCTTTGTCGAATAATATCTTAGTGTACAATTTTCCTACATATTATAAAATTTTTATTTAATATTGCACCTTATAATATAATATTCCCCAAATAAATATATCCAGTGCCTCGCATGTGTCATGTACTATATCTATCCCGTACATTTTTCTTTATTCAAGTATATAATTATAAGCTTGGATAAATAGCCTTAAAATTGTGCATTTTTCTTTATTCAAGTATATAATTATAAGTCTGGATAAATAGCCTTAAAATTGTGTACCCCGTGCATCGCACGGGCTCTGTACTAGTATATTCATATGTGTGGTGGTTCAAAAGCTCCCATTGAATGAATCACAAATGCATGTTTGTTTTTAATATAATTAAGATAATGAACTGTTTTTCTTCCAAATTAAACGGTCCTAATCACACAATGAAAAAACTGTACTGTAGGTACACTTTATGAATACTAGTTTCATTGCTTTAATAATATTGGTCTATTCTATATGTGGCTTGAAAGTTAAGGCAACGCAACATCGTCTTTCCCCAATCACCTTCATAAAATAAGCTACAAAAACCATTTGACGTCAAACATGCCACCCTATAAACATGGCAGAAATTCTATGGAGTCATTTATAAGAAATTCTATGGAGTCATCTATAACTTTATGTATTGACACATGTCTAATGTGTATTTATTGTAAGACACGTATCAATACACCATTTGTGAAATTCTATGTTAAATTTGTTTATAATCTGTTTAAATCGTATGTTTTAATTCTCTAAAAAATTAGAGGCTACTATTTTATATGCATCGTCACAACATAGGCGCACTCATGACTAATTGCATAAACCAAAAGTGTCTTTTACCCCATTAGTTGGATGGTATCAACTATTCATTGTAAGTTAAGGATGATGGTATTCCGCAAAACAACATTGTCGAGACATGGTGGACACACCTTGGGATGACCAAAGCTTAAAAACACAATGATGTAGGGAAGCGTACGAGGGAAAGATAAGCGAGATACTCTCTCAGAAAACACATAAAACTCACAATATCTTATTTTTATTCAATACACAACCACCCATCACACAACAGAAGAATTATTTAAATAAACCCCTCAAACTAAACCTAGCTTATTCTCTAAGCTACTAATAATAATAATAATAATAATAATAATAATAATTATTATTATTATTATTCTACACCATTCTCCCATCGGTTGAGCAGGATTCGCTCTCGAATCCGACCCGATCCCGTTGGAGTCGTCCTCATGATAAGAATAGTCTGATGTTACCCCCGATCGAACACAAAGGTCAAAGGTCGTCCAACAACCTCGAAGGTAAACACAATCTTGGGCAAGGGCTGATCTGCTGCAAAGGCGCATGTACACGCCTCCATTCGCATAACCCACACAACGGAATTAACACCAAACATACCACATCGTTCGCCACGCTCAAATCCATAATTACGCCAAACAACCCGTTGTTGGTAGACTTCGCGATAGACAATAGGAAAATAGCCGACCCGGTATTGAATCTCGACATCGGCTCCGAAAAATCATCTTTGGCCAAGATACTCCGAAAATCGGGTGTAAACGACGACTTCCTATTCGAAGGCTCAACCTCTGCGACATTCCATGCGGGACCCATTTTGTCGCAAAAAGATGTCTTCGGCACCAACGACTCCTCATAAAAAATTGGTGGACCGTCGTAGATACCGCACACGTCGGGCTCGAACTCTGGGGAATTGCTGAAACTCCAGCCCGTGCGACGATGCCCCTGCTGGTCGTCTAAATCTGCGCGACGATGGATGGAGCCCGGGGGCTCATGGACGTCAAAGTCTGCTTGTGGCTGTACAGGCCCAAAACATGGATTAAATCCATCCCTCCCCTGGTCCCAATAAATGAAATTAGGTCGTCCTTGCACAGGCCCAAAATTGGAAAAAAAGAATCAATCTCTTGTTCTGCGTCTCTCCTCATCGCCCAAATCACGATACTCTCCATCTCTCTAATCCCATCGCTGCACCTCTGCCAATCCAGCGTCGGTCCCTCGTCGGTCGCGCCCAGGGCCATCTGGCCATCCGTCAGCGGCACGTCGGCCGTCAATTTCTTAGTCCGCTGCACGTCCTCCGTCTTGCCTTCGTTGTGCCGTGGCCTGAAATCGCCTAAGGTTTGTTCTTCAGGCCAGGCGGCGCAAATATGGTAGTCGCCGACGTCCTCAGCAATGCGCCGCCCATCCCGACCCCAACCCGCCTTAGCAAGCCCTAAATTTCTCACCGGAAAGTACAATTCGTCGAAATCAGGCGCCTCCCTTCGCCGTTGGTATGCGCCGCCGTCGCCGGCAGCCTCGCAACCGTCGTCCCAGCGGCAACGCGGTAGATCGAACTCAGGAAAGGCTGTGCCCTCGCGATCGGACCCCCGTCTGCGAAATTCACGATGTTAGCTGAAGCCTGAAATAGTTCGCCGGAAGTTGTTGTCTAGAGCTACGCGATTCGGCGGAAATTGGTAGTCAAAACCCTCCTCAGGACGCTGTCGGCTGTGAAATCAGACCGCCCCTAGGGTTTTCTCGTCGTTGCTCTCGCCACCATGTCCGAAACTACCTCTAGCCCGCCGCTGCTCATGAAATTGGGGCTAACTTAGGCTGTTGTCATCTCCTCGCCATGGTGGTCGATCTGTAAACGGGTTCGCCGACCCAGTAGAGTCTCCAACATCGTTTTTGTTCACAGGTAGCATGGATCGCTGCTGGGGAGCCCCGACATGGCTTCCCTCACGTCCGTCTCTGTCTCCCCTGCGATTGCCACGGCCCACAGCCCCATTGCAGTTCGTCTGCAATTCCGAAACAACCACGTTGTTAAGCGTCAAATGCAAATCTTCGATCCCCGTCGAAAGATCAACAAACCAATCCGTGAAATGTACGTCCAACTATTGAAATAAATAGTCGATCTGTTGAAACCGATCGTTGAAGGTTGCGTCACGTCGTTCGTTTGCGGCATCTTGTCGTCCCGGTGGCATCGCAAATCGTACTGACTGCTGATGATACCAATTGATGTAGGGAAGCGTACGGGGGAAAGATAAACGAAATACTCTCTCGTAAAACGCACATAACTCATAATATCTTATTTTTATTCAATACTCAACCACCCGTCACACAGCAGAAGAACTCTTTAAATAAACCCCTCAAACTAAACCTAGCTTATTCTCTATGCTACTACTAATTATTAAATAATAATATAAATAATAATAATAATAATAATAATAATAATAATAATAATAACAACAACAATAATAATAATAATAATCATAATTATTCTGCACCACACGATAAAGATAAAAGTTAGAGAGATCGAGACATTGTTAAAGCCTAGAGATTTATGAGATGATAAAGACAATGCTAAAAAAAAAAATTCGAACACTTTACTCAATCATGCCAGTCGTAAATCTTACTCATTATAAAACGATTATTGAGTGTTCAATAGCTAAAGATGCGTGGAAGACACTTGAAAGACAATTTGAAGAAAAAAGACTGAAAGAGGAACTCAAAAGCTCCACGTTTGACGAAGAAATCTCTGAGATGATACAAGTTCTGAAAATCGTGAGAACTCTACCAAAGAGGTTTCGTGGAAAATTTACAGCACTTGAAAGTTTCATGAGAGTCTAACCGCTTGGAATTGGTGATCTCCTAGGAGACCCCAAACCTTCAAGATCAATTGCAGATACGTCGTAGTCCAAACTAAAAGGATAACCCTTGTTGACGGTCGACCGCAAACGGTTACATTTTATGTTTATTAGTGCGGTTTAATCAGGGTTTACACTATGATTTATTACAAAATTATGGATATAAATCAACAGAGAGGGATGCAAAAAGATTTTTCGAGCATATAAAGTATGCTGAAAAAATAGACACGACACCGATTTCGTCCATCTACTAGGGAGATAGGCAAGGAGAGCGTTTTCTATGGAATTTTTATTGAAAGAGTATATGAGGCTTTTTACATGATGATATGAGGTATGCTTACTGTGTTGTCGTTTGTCCTAGTTAGGAACGAAGGTGTTCAATTTATACAAGACAAAAGGTAAGGGTGTAATGAATGTCTAGTGCTAGCTAAGGGCGTAGGATGGCGGTGCGTGTATTCATGCAGGTCTCTCTTTTTTAGGATGGGACAAGTTTGGATGATCGCTTTAATAGTTCTGCAGTTACACGAGGATGAGATCGTCAAAACTTTGAGAAGAAGCCTTAGAGGAGGGTCGACATTTCTTTGTTGTCGGATCGTCCATTCTTATCCGTGAGATCATCATAGAGGACATGACTATTGAATCAAGAGAATATCGTCAGGACATGCATGAGAGGGATCGTCAAGATATGCACGCTAAGAAAGAGTCGGTAAAAGAGGCCCCGTCAATGATAACTGAAGAAGCGGCAACCTAGTGTTTGTAGTTTTTAGCCGACTATGGAATAAATTCTGACCTCGGGTCGTGTCTCTCGAGGAATATTGTTCGGAGCTTCGTTTACTATCTAGTCGTCAAATCACAAAACCGAAAATAAGATCCTAAACATGCTACTGGTTCGAAATGGAGTTGATTTTGAGCTAATCACAACTAAGAATTAAAAGCATTTGAAAGAAATTAATGAAAGATGAGGTTTTTTGAGAGAAAAGATTCAAACTTTGGTTGATCAGAGACTCCACAACTCAAGAAAATGAAAATAAACTAAGAGAAACATTCTCCGTTTTTCTTAGAAGGATGAGGGCTGATTTACTTAGCTTATCACGTCCTCCATTTTTCAAACGAATTAATATTTTTCTTATTCCTTGGATTGGAATTTCAGAATCATCACCAAATGAGACATTCCCACTTATCGACTCGTCGAGCTCCACAAACATACTCATTTTTCCACACATGTGGTTGCTCGCTCCGGTGTCGAGGTACCAAGTGTCATCTTGCCTTTCTTTCTCTCCTTTGTAAGCTAAATGCAAACTTGCTTTGGCTTCATCTTTTCTCTCGACAAAATTCGTCTTCTCTTCAATATTAAGCTTTTGGCTTCTGCACTCAGAAGCAAAATGTCCAAATTTATGACAATTATAACATTTTGAGGAAGATTTATCGTACCTCGATTTTTGGTTACTCATTCCTCGACCGTCCTCTTTCTTTTCATAATTGGTATAGCCACCTCGTCCACGTCCTCGGCCTCGACCTTGTCCTTGGCCACGACCTCTCCAATATTCATCACGGTTGTTGCTCGGTCCTTCATCCTTTTCTTTCGAGCTCACTTGAATTTCAAAAAGTTGTTCTACATTATCTTGCTTCTTTTTTATGTTTTCCTTCGTATGCTTGTAATGAGCCCATTAGCATATATATCCACATCTCCTCCAAGTTTTTTTGTTTCTTCAATTGTATAACAATATGCTCAAATTTTGGAGTTAATGAGCGCAATATTTTCTCCATTATTCTAACATCCTCCAATTTTTCACCATTTCTTTTCATTTGATTTGATACTGCCAATACTCTAGTAAAATAATCCGATATAGATTCGGGTTCCTTCATATTAAGGGATTCAAGTTCACCTCGTAAAGTTTGGAAGATGTACCTTCTTTACTTGCTCGACGCCTTTGCACGAGACTTGTAACTTATTTCAAGCTTCTTTCGCGGTGGATGCGCTCGAGATCTTCTCGAAATTGTCATCTCCCAATGCTTGGTAGATAAGGAAGAGAGCCTTCTTATCCCTCTTCCTTGAATCCCTTAGCCTCATGGGCGTATCCATATGGTGCTTAGTGTGGGCCTAGGCCCACACTCAAAAAATAAAATAAAAAATACTATGACTTGGATATTAAGACATAAAAAAAGCTTAATAATTCATTAACAAAAAATTATTGAAATTAATAAACAATACCTTAGCGAGCACCAAACAAATAATAATAATAATAATAATAATAATAATAAAAGGGAGATAATGGGGAAAAGAAATACCTATACTTATAATCTAACACTTTCTTTTTATTAGATATGAACGAAAAAATTAAACTCTTTTTTTCATATTACTAGCATTCTTGTAGTTAATTGATTTTTGTTTCTTAATTATAAAAAATCTAATATTATTATTTTAATTTGTGTGTGAATGATAACTTAATTTGTGGTGCTCTTAAAAGTTTGATATATCAGATAAACCATTTTATACATTATAATTTATTTTTGAATATCAAATTATGGAGAAATATTTTCAGAAAATTTCTCGACAAAAAAGTGCATGTAAAAGTGTTTTAAAATGTATTACTTTCATTCTAAATTTAGTTGAGGTGAAATCCAATAATGTTTGGTTGAAATAAAATGAGATTACAAATTCATTGATGTTATTATATAGAGATATTGTCTTATTAAAAACTCATAAGAATAACTATAAAAGTTTGTTTATGTATTATACTTTTGTTATTATATTAAAAAATAAAATTAAATTTGGTCCCCACTCAATTTATAAGCGGGATTCGCCCTTGCTTAGCCTATCCTTTTGTTGTTGGGATAGTATTGCTTCATCCGGCGGTTCCTCGTACCCATTCTCTACAATCTCCCACAAATTGTGAGCTCCTAGTAGAGCCTTCATTTTAATACTCCAATTATCGAAGTTGCTCTTGTTGAGAAGTGGGACTTAAAAGCATTGTAGGTTGTTCGCCATTAGGGAATGAACTTGACTCTGGTACCACTTTGTTGGAATGTAAATATGTTGTGTATGTGAGTGATGAGTAAAATGAGTAGTGTGAAGATGATGGGTACTTGGATATTCAAAGATTGCTTATAAGATTGAGTACAATTACATCAATATCAAACTATAGCGCCACATACCAAATTCCAAATCTTGTTGTAAAAATGTACCACTCTAATACAATTTCTAGGACCAATCACAACTTATATAAAAATGTAATCTAGATTATTCTACAAAAATATAATCTACCACCTTCTAAATAATTCTTTAAAATACAATATTATAATTTATAAATCAAGTTTATTTTTCAACACTCACGACATTTTGTCCTATGTTTCGAATGAATGCAATCTTTTTTATAGATAATTTCGTGTCGGAAGCCAATTGGTGTGCGATGGTCCGATGGATAAACCACTATAATTAGTAAAATAGGCTAAAATCACGTCAATAAGCTAGACAGCTTGAATCAATTCTTATAACACAGTGCGAATTAGTATTAATTTTTTTAGAAGATTAAAATTTGAGATCTCCATAACCAAGCTTTTCAAGTGGTCAATCATAAGAAATAGGAACTTATGACGCTTTTGATTGCGAAAAGGACATTAACAATAAGTAATTTGTCAAGAAAAATGTATCGTTATAAATTGATGTGATGGAAAGCCCGAACTATTAATGAATTTAATTAGTGAAATGGGTCATGTTGCTTGAGAGTATCCGCAACGCTCGTTTTGTGTTCAGCGTTTATACGTCCCCCCACGTTCATTCGGATGCGGCTCATCCATTAAAAGGGGCCCACATATATGTTCATTGGATTGAACGGCGTTTAAAGCCTTTTTCTTTTTCTTTTTCTTTTTTTTTTTTATTTGTTTGTTTTTAAATCCTATTTTGTTCAAAGTTTTTTCTTTTTCTTTTTTTTGTTTGTTTTTAAATCCTATTTTGTTCAAAGCTTTTTCTTTTTCTTTTTTTTTTGTTTGTTTTTAAATCCTATTTTGTTGAATGCATGTTGCGCATGCTTTTTTTCTTTTATTTTTTTATTTTATTTATTTACTCTTTTTTTCTTTTTATTTATTTACTCTTTTTATTTATTTATTTACACTTTTTTCTTTTTATTTGCCCACAACTAAAAAAAATATTTTTTGTAATTGTACTATTTGTTCTTGTGTAATCTTAATTTAATTTATTTTGGTCTTGTAGTGTTCTTTCATTTTCATGCATTTAAAATTTATTATTATTAAAATATTTGAAATATATTTTTATTGTGAATAGAATATAAAAAATTATATTGAATGAGTGGATAATAGGTCCCACATATGTATTTAAATGAATGTGTAGGAATATGGGCGTGTGTTTAAATGGAGAGAGATTTAATGGAAAGATGATATGGAAATGACGTAGATGAGAGAGACTGTTACTTTTTCATTAAAGTAGAAAATAATTTTGGAATGTTTAATAGAAAAATTACTATATTTGTGTCATTCATCACAGACACGAACGAGAAAAAGGTGTCTGTCTCATGTAAAAAGTAGGCCAATGTTTGAAGGAAAAAAGTCCTTGCAACATTTTAAATATTTGACCCACTAATTTTTTACTCTTTTTGGGAATTCACACGAACTTTTAGCAAGGAAAATGGGGAGCAGACGATACTCACACCGAGGGTGTAAGCCGACACAGTCACTCTAAAGTAAAATCCACGTAAGGACATTAATATCATTTTCAGCATAAGAAATTATATGATACACATTAATTATGATCAATCACAGCTTTCATCTTAATTAAACTGACTAAACATATTAGTTATACATAATTCTACGTTATTGACTATTTGTCACGTAAAGTTCTATTAGTTTTCTAACAATTCATGTCATACTATTAAGTAACCAACTAACTACGGGCTAGCAACAATAGGTTCGGCCTAAACAGTCTGTTCCAAAAATACTTTAATATGAGGGTCGACAAATAATTAATTTGATGGGTCATATATGAAAAATTAATAATAAATATAAAATTTATTATCTTTTGGATATTTAAGTTAGTCCAATATTTTATAATTCAAAAACCCTAATAGGTATGTATAGAAGTCAAGCTTGTTTGGTTTTTAGCGTTTTGAGTTAAAACGCCAATATAGCTGTTTGACCAACTCAAATCAGCTGAAATTCATGTTTGGTAAAATAGCTTTTTAAGCTAACGGATTGATACAAATCGCTGAATATGAAAACGCTACAATGAGGAGCGTTTTGTATTAGCGGATTGGGCTATAATCAATAGAAAGGCCTTTAGCTATAATTTATTGCAATGATTGAGTTAAAAAAAGCCAGGCTCACTTCTGATGCTTACGTAATTATATAAATGCAATGATTGAAAAGAAAACAATTATAATAAAAAATAGACCATTGAATTAATTGAGTTGTATGGACTTTTCAAAAAGTTTGATGGGCTAATTTATCAATTTTTAATTGATGTAAATTTATTTATCTGATTTTGAATATTTTACATATTTAAATAAAAGAATTACAAAATTAACTTATTCTTCTAAACAAAATATTAAAGTATACAACTGAATTTTCAAATAATTTTACAAATTAAAAAATATGAAAAATTTGCATTTTCTAAGTAATTACAAATTTAAAGTTAAAATAAAATTAAAGTTTATAAATGTCCTTTTAAGTAATTTTGCATGTTAGCAGCTATTTACGAACAACTAATTTACCAAACAATTTTATAACAAACTGCTAACACAATCCGTTGGTCAAAACAGTTAATACAATCCGCTGGTCAAAACATCTGACACAATCCGCTAACAGCTACAGCTAACCGATGATTACCAAACAAGGCCATATCTACTTGTAGTCGTGTACTACTCCAACGCACTACAATTGACACGTTGTGAAACACCAAATTTTATAAAATAAGATTACAAAACATAGAAGTGACACATAGGCTCGGGAAGGAAGGTATCAAGAATTAAACAAAGTATTAATTAATTAATAGATTCTTTTTATTTAGCATGTCAAAATAAATTTAATAAATATTTAACATAATAGTATCATTTCATATGTATGTATAACATTAATTAAATTTATTGAAAATAGTATTTTCTTTATAGCAATTCTTGATTTCGTAACTCCAACTTTTTATTTTTTTTTTTGAATCGCAATTCGTGATTTTTCTTTACATCGATGTGAAAATATTCTGTTTCTATGCTTACACAAATTATTGGGGCCCCGATAAATCACTTTCGGCACATACTCTCACGTCGTTTTCGTCTATTATGAAAACCACGTTGAAATAGTAATGTACCAATATACTTTTTCCACACAACAAAATCTAGGAAGATACAGATTTGAATTTGTAAAAGAGATGTGTTGTTTTCAGCCGTACGGAGAAAGATAAGATGTCCCCAGCTCAACTAGGAGACGCATTTCAAGATGAAAACGTATATAACATATTCATTGGTGAAAAGTATTCCTACTGGAATGTGAGGATGCTTGTATAAAAGATTTATTAAAATATCAAATCATTTTTAATTCAAATCTAACTCAATTTTAACTCAAACTCACCATATTATTAATATAATTAAATAATATAAATTAATTATACTTATACATTATGTTAACTTTAATTCACTATTCATCAACTCACATACTTTTACCTAACCATCAGTTCACGGAAAATGCTCCCCTACCTACGCTTATGTGGCATGCACACATTGGTGATGTATTTTTTTTAACATATTAACATCACCAGCAATGTGTGCATGCCACATAAGCAGTGGATATATTAACATGTGGCTACCGTGGGCAAGGGAGCATTTCCAATCAGTTCACATCATCTTTCTTCTATCTTTACACCAAATCAACTTTAATTATTCTATTTTAATATAAACTCAAAATTTCACTATTAATTAACCATGCCACATTTTTGCAAAATTAACAAAACAAAAAGATCTTAAATCCAAGCATTCCGTAGTAGTTGTATCAAGAATGAGAATATGATATTTAACAATTGAATCCTCAAAATCAACTCCATTGGTGAAAAATTTTGATTGGTAAAATACAGTCAGCGGAGGAATCAATAAAAATTAATTTGATATAAAAAATAACAATTAATTATGTATTGTAGAAAAATATAAGATAACGATTGGTAGTTTTAAATACATGCGTTAATGATCAGTATTAAATTTTATAAATAAATTTAAAATAAATTACTTAGAATGTTAAAATTATATTAAAAAATATGAATGGAGAAAAAAATGCACATTAGATGCAAAATAATAATTATTCTCAAAATAATAAAATAGTTATATTTAAAAATACGCAAAGTGGATTAAATATATTTTTTTCGTCACAACCTTCCAAGAAAAAACGATACTGGTAATATGAAATGAAAAATTACATATAATAAGAGGGATAAATATATAAAACAATAGTATTTACTACTCCAAAATAAGTTATGGCAAGTTATTAAATCGTTCCATGCATAAAAAAATAAACGAATAATAAAAATTAATAAGAAAAGGGTCAGAAAGTCAGGCCACTTGTTGTGTCTGTATCTATCTTTTTACACACTATCTCTCTCCGACCCATACCTAAAATTAGAAGTATACTGCAATAAGTAGAATTGAATGGAATGATTATGCATGAGTTGTACGGCAGGCATATACAAGAGGAATCCAAAAGTGAATGTCCATTCAATTGGGTAGGCATTCCATTATCTTTTAGCAATTAATTGACAAGTCAACGAACATACTTGTTATATAATTTTCACTTAAATTCTGAAAGTCAAAATGTCATTTTATTGAATAAATAAGTTAATCAACATATTTGTTATAGATATTTTACTTACATTATAAAATTCTAAATGTTGTTTCACTAAATATTTTATGAAAATTAATGAAATTAAATTATATATTTCATATATTTATATCATTTATTAAAAAATTAACAAGTAATTGATGTATTTCATATTAAAGTAATATAAAAAATAGAAATTAATCGTGTCTTAAACTATATATTAAAAAATAGAAACAAAAAAGAAAAAATGACAAAGTAAGCTACAACCACAAAATAAATACATAGGAAATGTTTGAGTCATGTCGAAAAATATATACAATTTTTTAGTTTAATAGAAAATAAAATTTAAATTAATATGAACTAAATAATTTTATCATGAATTAAATTGATAAAACATGGACTAATTTTTTTCTTACTACTACATCTATATATATAAAAATGTTTGATTATTTTTTAAATAGTAAATATTTTCCTCCAAAAAAAATCTATTTACTATTTCGGAAAATTAATTTAATAATTTATGATAAATGATCATTTATGGAAATTGGGGCTCATTATTTAACGAAGTAACTATACCATATTTTAAGATACCTTGATTACTCAAATAATGTGAATTAATTAATATACGGTATAAAATAGGAGGATTTATTTTTGGTACGTAATTGATAATAATGTCAATATTATAATTTCAAATTTATTGTTAAATTAATTAATATACGGTGTATTTTTTATGTAATGCGCAAGACAATATATTGGTTTTTAGGGGGAAAATTTTAAAATTAGTCCCACAGGTATAGGGGGTGACAATTTTGGTCCCGACGGAATGCAGAAAATATGAATAGTCCCACATCTTTTAAAAAATGATCAAAAGTAGGACTTTTTCGCCGGATTTACTATTTTCGGCCCGGAACGCCACGTGGCATCCGACGTGTTCATATTTTTTACAAGTTGTGGGACTAGTTTTGAATTTTCTGCATTCCATCGGGACCAAAAATGTCACTCCTGTATACTTGTGGGACTAGTTTTGAATTTTTTCCTATCTACGTCGGATGCCAGCGTGTAAAAAATAAGCCACGTGTGCGCCACGTGTACGCCATGTTGCGCTCCGGGCCGGAAATAGTAAATCCGGCGAAAAAGTCCTACTTTTGATCATTTTTTAAAAGCTGTGGGGCTATTCATATTTTGTGCATTCCGTCGGGATCAAAATTGTCACCCCCCTATATCTGTGGGACTAATTTTGAAATTTTCCCGTTTTTACGCGTAGGTTTCAATTTTTATTTTAATTTTGTGTATGAAATTAACATAATAAAATTACCGTAACTCCACCAAAATAATATGAATGGATATTTTGATATAATTTTCGTGTATCGAAGATTTTTTTATAGAAGAAATCATGGTCAATTTTTTTGTATAATTAGTTGGTCTCGATTTAATTCATTTTTTGTTACGACATTTCAAATATATTTTTTTTTTGTGAAATTCATTGTTCATTTTTTAGCATAATAAAGAGTGTCGATTTTATTAGCGTAAAAAATATTATGACAATTTTTTTTTACTCAACTACTTAATTTTTTTATTTGGATATTTTATACAAAATAAATTTATTTTAATTAATGAAACAATATAAGTTTTACTTATTATTCACATAAGTTTTAAATATATGATAAAATTTTCCAAAATAATTATTTTATAGAATCACGTTATAGTGAAATCAAATTTCTGAATAAAATTTTTGAAATGGCACATATTTAGAAACGGATGTAATGCAATTTATTATCAATTACGTACAACGCACGGGTTGTGTACTAATTTTAAATAGTTATTTTTATGTAATTTTGCACAATTTAAATTTTATAAAATATTTTCAATAAATTAATATAGATACATTGTATTATAAAATATTTATCATTTATAAATATTA